AATTCCTGTTCCCGTGGACTTAAAGCGTTGAAATTTGGTAGGAATTCAGGCTACGGGATGGGCACTCTTATACTAGGTGGTAGGCCGGATTCCGCTCACAGGGGGGGGGGGGGCGAGTTTGCGCGAAATAAGTGGTTGAGCGGATATTCATAACTCCTGATCTCGTGGACCCACAGAGTTCGAATTTGATAGGATTTTTTGTATCAACAGTGGAACTTGGGCGTTTTAATGTAGGATATGACGGGATCGTAGGTATTCGGTGACAATAACCGATGACAACTAATAAGATGAGTGGCCTAAGAGAGCAAGAGCCAGCTACCGACCAAAATCCTGACCCCTCACTGTTTAAGATGTAGCTTCAACTGTTCAGTATGTTTCATTCGATCACACGGGATGGTAGAGCAGGGTGACAAAAATGAGTGGTAAGTGCAGCGATAGGGACCATCGTACTACGAAAAGCAGATGAGGATTTTGGGGGTCCGGTATCTTCGCGTGCATTCGCGCGCAATGAAGGGAAAAGTTTAATTTTCCGATGGAAGGATAGGGCAGCCGCCGCGTGACCACTGCCGCCTGCCGTGGGAAATCGAATAGAAGTTCCGTCACCCAAATTTTGTTCATTTCTTGATATTAGATCACGACCGCTACCTAGCAAGGTTTGTGTCTCAATGAGGGATTTTTTGTTCAATATCATTTGCGGCAAAGCTCAACCGACCGCCAATTATCTGGAACTCTTAACTAATGATATCTCTGTAAAGAAAAAATCCCCACTGGTAACGACTTATGATAGTAGTGTTAACATCACTCGAAACATCTGTGAGTTCCGCCCATGGCTATGGTTGCCTAACAGTCGAATCTCTAATGGGTATTTATTTTGAGGAGATCAAAAGATCGAAATCCCAGTTAAAGGCATAAGCACCGACCTACACTGAATACCAATGCCCTGTTAGTCCTGTGTCAGACTTCGTGTACAGGAAAATGTTATTCGTTCCAAAGAAGAAGGAGAGTAAGCCGACTACTACAACTTTGCCGGATAAGGAGGGAAGCCCGACGTTAGCCGGGCGTACCGACTGGTATATTATATAATGCTGTACTTTTACGGATTTCGTACTTTTCGCTTTGCCTTGTGTTTTATCGGTCACTAGGACTGAATTTGTTCCCGGTGTATCGTAACCCTGGATAGATTTTATGTTTCACAGATTAGACCAGATCATGGAGAGTATAATCCGAGTGCGTCTGTGGTGGCAGTCGTACAGCTGAGCCGAGCCGGAGCAGAATTGCGTGGTATTGAATGGCTGATATTATATCGAAGTGATAATTATTCCGCATGCTTTAGACTTTTTCTCCGAAACACGATGAGGAAATCCGAGAGGTTCCTCACCGTATATAGCAGACTGACGGAAGTGGGTGAGCCAGCTGCGTTCTTTTATGCTATCCACTTCCCACCCAAGTTTCACCTATTCGGTTTGCGACTTCCTTAGTATTGTAGTCACAGTTTTTGTATCATTTGAGACCTGTGGCCATTCACGAAAGGGAGTTCTATTCGATTTTTCGCAACCGCAGCTATGTTTTTGCCATTGTTATTTTAACTACTTGACATTAACCTCCAAGAAAGTGTTGAATATAGAGTTTCCCAGGGCTAATCTGTACTTTGTCTCATGAATAAGTGTTTCTGAAGTTATCCTGGCGATGAGCTAAATAGAAATGTTACTGACGCTATATACTATTTCGAATTGGTGTAATTTCCAGGTATATAGTCGGCTACACCACGCACATAACGAACTACTAATGTTTGAGGAAAAATGTACAGGGCTCGAACAGAGGCTTCGCCTACTCGGGCAAGTGAAGGCAAGTTTGAACTTACACTACAGCATCGTAGGACTGCCTTTTTATGTACAATCTACGGCATCAAGTTTTCTATTTGCTTGATCTCAGAAAACAAAGCTTTGTTCTGGAAGTATTTCTAGTTATGCTAGTATTACATGGGAGAGGTAATGCCAATTGTCTCAACAACAACAGCAAGCAAAACAAAATCTGTTGTAAATAGATCTTCCCAGCATGTATGAGTAATGTGGTTGAATCGCCTACGGGGGAAATCTTTCGGGGCATGGAAGGTTTTTGGAAATGGTTTTTTGCATGGTGTAGGGCATGAGCAGTGAGTACAGAACTATGGTCCATTTCCGCTAAATGACCTTCTGAATGACAAAAAAGGAGTGGAAATGATTTCGTCGGGAATTGCCGTCTATCCCATTACTTGTCACGAGGGCCAAAGCAAGTGTCTGACTGGTCGTGGTCGTGACCAGGACCAGCGATAATCTCTACAAGTTGAATTTTACTGATATTGACTGAGACGAATTGTACCACCAACACGGCGCGTACTGGCGCCGTTGTCAAGAATGAATAGTTCGCACCTGTGGTCACTGGACTTGACGACCCTCTCAGGGCAGAATATGGAATTACTCAAAATTCTTAGATGTATTGAACTTTCTATTTATTGCAAACAACTTATCAACAAGTGTGGTACAACTCTACAAAACAAGAGTAGTACTGTCGTTTGCCACACCAACTGCACTTCACGAATGCCAAGGAAGAGCAGTTACTGTTTCCTTACCAAGCACCAACCACATCTCCCCCGTTGAAAGTGTAATCAGTTGGCATTGAAATGGTCCCGGATGGTGGTCAACGTTTCCTGCGGCAACCCAGGCGTACGCTAGGGATGGACGAAAAACGGAAGCCGTGGTGTGTACCATTCTCAATCTCGACATGGCTTTTTCACCAGCTAGAGTTATTGGCCGACTTCTATCCTCTCTCACGCCTGATTTTTCTCTTCCATCGAGAAAGGAGATCGCTATTGCTCACGCGTTCTGAGGAATTCTTCAGGGTGCAGAAAATGGCGACGTCGAATATGACGAACAAGAGGAGTCGCTTTAGGTAAACTTTACACTGGTAATTGGAAACAAAGCGGATTCTGCATTGCAACAGTCTCTAGGCATCTTTGGACGAAAAAGAGGAGGTCAGCTGGACTCCAGACGATGACGACGATGACTGTAGCAGCACTGAAACTCCATCACAGAGGAGCATTTTCTTTGACAGCAGACCCATTTCTCAAGACACTGTTAGTTTTAGCACTGTCTAACAAAAGCTCAATGTGAATTGCTGTATCTTGACAGATTCGCCGCGCCATTGCCCACTACCGTGACACGGGCAAGGCTACCCGTTCTTTAGCGTCAATGGCGAACCGGTTCGAGTAGATCAGAACTTACCGGCATATAATTTTGTTCCATGAAATCGAAAAAAGAAGTACCCAACGTCGCCGATTGCTTAAAAATCCAACTGATGAGTGAGCGAAGGTCTGTTAGCTTCCCATTCTTAACCTAGGAATGGGTGAAGAATCGAGGGTGCTCAAATTTGAAAGTCTCCTTGCTCTTCTTCGAGAAACAGCGATGGAAGCAGCCGAACAATTATGTCTTTGAATGCCCGAGCTGGAAAGTAAGTTGCACGTTGGCAAAGTGCGCCAAATTACATGAGTCAATATCAGTAAAATTCAACTTGTAGAGGTTAACGTTGGTCCTGGTCACGACCATGACCAGTGAGGCACTTGCTTTGGCCCTGGTGCAATGTGGAGCCAATCTGGAAATGGCCCGCACTTTTCAACATGCTTCAACGTGCTGCTCAACAACATCCATTATTTTTAATGTGAAGTCCACTGGCGCCTTCTACTGTGCGAACAGTCGACGCCATGAATGAAACAAACGAGGGTGACTGGGACAAGCGACAATTACCGACTAAATCATTTTCACTCCTTCTTTGGCGTTCAGAAGGCATTTAGCGGAAATGGACCATGTTCTGTACTCAGCGTTCATGCCCCTACACCATGCAAAAAACCATTTTCAAAAACCTTCGTCCCAAGCGTCCCACGCCCTGAAAGACCTCTCTTGTTAGTGAGAACCAATCGGGAGTCCAATTCCCCAGTTTCCTCTCATTCAGAGTCGGTGAAATCATCGTAGGGAGGCCAGTTCAGTCCGCTCTCAGGGGTTTCCACTTGAACCGGAATAAAATTGGCGCGAATGAGTTTTTCGAAGTACTAAAATTATGCAGATGAACAATCAGAAGAAATATCGAAGATTATTGTTGGCGGGAAAGCAATCCATCGTCTACAGTCGAGCTTATGAGTGAGAGCTCATATACTCTGATCAACGCCGCCAGACAAGCGACAAAGCGAACGAAACCATTTACTGCTTAAATTTCACTCAGCCTATACATAGTTAAGAACTAATTGGTTCTCACTGTTTCCATAAAAACCACATATACACCACATATACAGCCATATACATGCACACATATACACACATATTCCTACTTACACATATACAAACATGTACACGCAATGCACATACAGCATGCGCACGCATGTACACAGACATGTGTATATGTGCACACCTACACAGATATGCTTACACACATCCATATGTATACATACCAGGCGGCCACGCACGCTACTAGGGGCTCTGTGCTCTGTGCTAGGGGCTCTAGCCATGAAAGCCGGATTCATGAGTATGAGACCCGCTCAAACCCCGGCCCCTGCGGGCAGAGTCTGGTCCTGTCACCCGCCATGAGTTTTCCCATCCTGTCGCCTGCACTCCTACCAAGTTTGAACTTTCTAGGTCCATGGGGACAAGAGTTATCAATTTTCGTATGTATAAATGTAAGAAGGGATGTGAGCTTCGAGGCATGCTCCGCCCATTGTGGGCGGGACTCCGCTGACGTCATATATGCTAGAGGCACATTCGACAGTGCTTCTCCTATATCAACTTTTTCTTGCTTTGTTGGTTCTCTGCAAATCGAGTTATAAATGTTTCCATAAAGCATTGCATTTCTGGAGAACACCCTGCCCATCGGGAGTGGGTCTCCCCAGTTGGATCTAACTTACCAATGCACAGCTCTGACCACCTTTACACCCTAGTTTTGAAGCCGTCTTGTTACTGAATTTGAAATCATGGCCCCCAGTACAGCACATTTCTATGCACGCCACGCCCACTGTGGGCGCTCCTCCGCCAACTGATGTGTGCCTTATACTTCTCGGGACATGGCCCACCCATCCCATGCTTGACCCGGTCTCTCAAGGCAGATCCAAAGGAGCTAGGGAATTTCGTGACAGACATACAGACGACAGATATACAGAAAGACAGACAGACAGACAGACAGACAGACAGACAGACAGACAGACAGACAGATAGATAGATAGATAGATAGATAGACAGACAGACAGACAGACAGACGGACGGACAGACAGACGGCAGACGAGGCGCTTTATCTGCTAGGATACATATAGATCATGGATAAATGGATAAAATTCTTCGGGCGTCAACATGTTCCTCATTATCATTTCCCTCGAGCTTCGAGCTCCACTGCTTCTCTTATCGGATACTCATATGATCTCCTCAGCGCGTACACAGCCGATCGCTTGCTCTCTCATCTACACCTCGAGAGAGGTTGGTTTCATGACCGCCCTGATCTCTTCCGTTCTTTCCCAGTCCAGTCGTTCAATCGCAATCCCATTCAAGCATCCTCACAAGCACGCGACGTGGGCCTCACCTGACCACCCATCTCGAAATTTGGCGGTAGAGGGATAGTATATGTCTTGTCGTTTCTCATTGCATATTTCTTAGGAGTACATTTAAGGAAGCTCCTATCATGTACGCCACTGCTGTCACAGAAATTGTTCGAAGAAGGACGTTCCAGAGAGAATTCAACTCATGGTTCTCTGTTCATGTGAATAAATGTTGTTCATTGTATGATGAAGAGTCAAGTACTAGAGCAGAGTTCTCTACAAAGATGGAAAAGCATTTCCTGCGTGTGCTTTTCCATGGTGAGTTTCCATCGTAGCAAGAAGCATCGCAAAAATCCATCCTGAAGAACTTTCGCACAACGCACCAGTATTAGGTATGTTCGATACCATCCCTCCGTTCTTTGTCAAAAGTCTGCCAGAATTCGATACTGCACTCATCCCGATCAATGACGAATATTTGAAGGAACTTCGTAATGTTTGTTCCTGTTGTCTACTATCTTTATGCTTTACTTTACTTGAACGTAATATAGAAACTTCATGATGTTTTGTTATTGCAGAATATCGAGGAGTTGAAGCAACATCTGAATGTCGCACCTCCGCAAGTGTTCCTTCGTCTTGACGTCAGGTCTTTTAAATATTGCTATCTGAGTAATATCGGCTACTCTCGGCATAGTTACGACAAAGAACGGTTTAATCTACTTCTGCAAAAATAGTTAATCTAGTTATCCCATCGTCTTCTATAGCATATTATGCAGTGATTTAGAGACAGGTCGCGGCAAAGGAAAACTAACAATATCCAGTCACGCTGTGCCTGAAACGAGCCTGATGAGAATTTTGTGTGCGTGATGTCTTGTGTCAAATAGCTAGAAGTTTCAGATGAGTAACACAAATCAAACATGTTCTATAGTATAGCTGTTGAAATGATATTCATTCGAGCGATCATATTCATATTGGCCCAAGTCTTCCCTGATTCACTAGAGAGTATCTGCTGTTCAAGTGACCTAGTTAAGCACTTTTCACAGTGTAATTGAATAATTACAATAAGCACTCGGAGTGTGAAATACATACCATTCCTATCATTATTCGAATATGAAACACAAATCAGGTGATATGAGCTAGAGTTGCAGAAGAGACCTGCTATCAGAGCAGTTTGTATGACCTTCAACACATCGGGTCAAGCTCGGCATCATCATGGTGCTGATCGTTCGGCAAGAGCCAGACTATTGGACGGCGGTCGAGTCGTCACGGACGAGAATAATGATCAACCTCGTTTTCTGCAATCTCCTTCCATGCGGAGGCATTTCTCAATTTTAGATAAGATTGGCTTTTTCTAGAATTTTCGGTCAGTGTCTGTTCAAATTTTCGATCTTATTTGTGGCAGGTCGATAAATGGGCGCGAACGTTTGAAGAAGCTGCAGCGGGCACAGGGGAAAGTCCAGAATTTGCTCACAATGTTCATTCCAAACATCAAGACAAGGGTAGCTGGAATCAAGTGACAGAGTGCAGAGATTGGATCGTTGTCGAACTAACAGGCGAGACTGGTTATCCCTGCTGCTATTGTTAGCCACATTGTGAGCAAAGTCGAGATGGTCGACAAAATATCTGTTTGGCTACCTCAATTACCTACTTGTCGTTCGACTTGTCGTTCGACTGGTCGTTCGACTGGTCGTTCGACTGGTCGTTCGACTGGTCGCTCGACTGTTGTCAGGAGGAGCGACAATAGTCATTTAGACTGTATAGCCTCATTCCTCGCAATCTGTCGTGTTATGGACAGGAACATCGGCAAACGTAGTTCTGCCCTGAACAGAGTTTCAATTATTTTTGGAACGAAAGCAAATCATGAAAACAATATATTCTGTATGCCCTAGATAACACTTTTGAATGTCATAAAGCGAATTGCACCCGATGTAGTCAAAATCACGTTTCATCGTGTGTCAAAAAAGGTCATATGGTAAAGGGACAAAGCCATCTTCGGCACCCGAATCAAGGCAAAGGCTGGAAGAATTTCAGTATAAAGAGCTATCAGGGAAGTGTTTGAAGTAAACTCTCCTCTGGGCCTCAAGGTAACCAAAATGGGAATCATTACAAAATTAGAAGGCACCAGAATGATTCTAGGAATTTTTTGAACAGTAACACCCATATGAGAACAGAAAACACCGTTCCATTTGCTAATGAGCGAAATCAGGCAAATTCGCAGCTAGTCTAATGACTGCTGGAGGAAACCTGTGGAATTACAGTAAGCAGTAGTACGAGAAGGTACTATTCTTTTTCGTTTCTGGGGCGCAAAAGACTGTCATAGAAGAAGGACTTGCTGAAGGATTCAGTCTCCCTGAGTCCGCAACCAAAATATGCACAATGCCGGGTGTTGGTGGACCTACTGACAGTATTGGAAGCTACGTAGGGACTGCAAAAGTAGGCTCCACGTTTGGAGAAGAACTCGACTTGATGTTCTAAACAAAAGTTTTTATATAGATATATAGATACTAATATAGATGCTAATTTTTTTGAAAGAAAACAATGTTTGCTTGGCGAACTCGAAGCTCAGATTGGGACACCAACGTCCTCACATTTTAGTAGGGTTAGACCTTTACCATGAATTAATATTGGGTCAGGACCGTATGGCAAAAACGCCCTCAGGTCATATTGCAATATTTGTTCCTACACCTTTTACGGTAAAGGGTCACTTGTAGGAGAATCCTTCAAACCAAAGGTATGTTATGAGGTGACGGCAATTGCGAACAACTGTAAATCCTCTTTGTCAAAGAATAGCGGCCTCGCAGGACCAAGTGGGCTCAGGTCACCAATTAAGAATAACGTAATCAATGCGCCAACGAAACATTTCATAGGCAAAAAAATTGACAAAATGAAGATCAAGAAGCTCCAAACGTTAACGCAAAATAAAAGCAAGTATCGGTCGCGCTTACGCCACATAGAACCGTTCTTACGGAACTCAACGCATACCAGTCGGCCATTCGACAGCAAACTAGATCACCATAGTCCAAGGCATACCCAGAGTATTTGCAAGGGAACATCAAGGCGTCACGAGCGTTGCCCTCATTATTACGATTCGTTCAAGCGCCGTAACCCACTCAGCAAGCCTAGTAATTGTTTTGCCTATTATGAACACGAAGCCATCAATTTTGGGTCACTGTCAATGCCATAAAAAATTGGACCCATCTTAGCCTACTTAGTGTATGCAGGGTCAATAACAACAAGGCATCAAAGTGGTGTGCGCCCATGCTTCTATAATTATCATATCTATGTTTATCAATCGAGAAGTAAGGGCAAATTAGTTGCTCAAAGTTACTCATTGTCATGAATTCATCAAGTTAGGCTCATTAAGGCAACTATTTACAATATAATGTGTTGAAGAAATGTTCGAATAGCTATTAAGTCACTCGCCGTTCACATTTTCAGTTTCACGCGGAGCTAACAGCAGTTCTTATGGAGCAATTCAAATATCAAAAAGTACCAGCTTGTGATTCTTGCGGCAGCCCCAAGTCAGCTCCTTAGGTTCGTAATAATATCAAAGAGATTAAGTTCAATGGTGTACACCCGCCTCCGCAGGGCTGCGGACCGTAGTTGGGTTATCTTCGAGACACTAGCATGGTTCCCTTTGATTGAATGCTGTATTGCTGTTCTCCGGTTCGCTTATACTCGGAAACGGCAGGATATCAGGACGGTATTTTGTTGCTAATAATCCACCAAGTAACTGCTTGCAGTCACATTGCATTCATTGCTAAACATTGCATTCTTAACGCTATATATATTTCTATGTTTTTTCTTTGTTTCAAAAGTATGTGCACACTTAGCAAAAACCAAAAGCATATTTGAGATCAGGAATCAATAGGGCCCCCTAAATTTCTGCGAAGGTTATCGACTACGAGGAATCGTTTGAGAGTGATTTCGCTACGGTAGGTTCTTTAGTTACCCGTTGAAATAAAAAATTTTGAGTGTGCATATTTTGGCTGCTCAGGACAACAGGAGATAGCCCGTCTTGTGGCGAATACTTCTTTGTCTGTGAGTCAGATCCTA